TATTTGCTGACGTGGGAAGTATCTAATTTAACTTCACTACTAATAATTCTTTAGCTACCATTCCAAAAGTTGTACTTAGTCTCAATACAACAGTTTACATTTAAATAAGACTCTAGTAGCAGTTAAAACTGTTCAAAGATGGTCATACAAAATCCTGGTTGTCTTTCTTGCCTATCAGACAGATATGACTAAATTGTTGGCGGCTGGAACTCAAATCACATACAGTCAACAACATTACTGGATCCATGACCAACATCTCGAATTTGGCTGGTTAAACAGGCACACACAGCTACACCTGCTCCAGCTCTGCAGTGAGACACAGATCCAACAAGCTCCCACCTGAAAAGACAGAGGAGAAATATTATTTAAAACAAAGCATGATTTACTTTACTCAAAATACCAACCAAGACAAAAACTCCCTATTGTGGGACTGGTTTTGAAAGAAGCAGGCTTCTTAAGGATGATATCCCAAATGTTTTATATTAACTACATCTGGTAGCATTTTAGTACTTTGGAGTAAGTAATCTGTTACTGGAAAATTCCATTAAAGCATAGAGAAAATATAAAAATTACCTATTCAGCACTGGATCAAATGCTTCTACTGTATTTAAGTATGCATTGCCATTATGACCACCAACTGCAAAGATTTTGCCCATCACTGTTGCAATCCCCACTCCACCCCTGGGAGTGGTAAGCGCTGCTACATAATCCCACTTGTTGCTTCGAGGGTCATACCGCTCAACCGAACTCAGAGGAGAATTATCATCAAAACCACCTAAATAAAGAAAGATTTTTAAACAGTGTTACATTTCATACAAATTAACTGTTCAATCTCAATTCAACAGCTTCTACAAATCCAATCTTTTAAAAACATTTTAGAAAATAGAGAAAATCAGGGAAAATAATTCACCTCAACACCTATCACCACTACCAACTCCTACTAGACATTTTCTACAATTCAAGATAATTGAAATAATATTTTACTTCACTACTAGGATTAAAAATCTTAAAGTGGGAAAAACTGGAGTCCCCATATCTAAGAAGATAATTTAAGAGAAAACACACACACACACACACACACACACACACTCTCATATTTTTCCTTAGCCTCCTAGAGGCAAGCAAGACAGCACTGAGATTGCTTCTCTGTGTGTGTACATGTATGTACTATATTTTCAAACAGTAATAGGATTTGAGAAGAAACTAAATTAAATCATTTGATTTATTTAGATAACAATTAAAGTTTTCCAACCATCTCTCTTAAAACTGTAATTACTGTCATAATTATAGACAGTGGACTATTACTGAATTTTACTAATCTTTGTCAAAACTACGTCTTCATGCTGCATACTCTAGATGATAACGGTCCTCTGTATAGATCATTATAACAATGTTACTTATAATATTCCTGAGGGTTAAACACAGACTGTCTTTTTTTAGGCTCTATCTCAGTCTACATGAGTAATAATTCTCTTTGATGACTAAGCCTATTTTCCTGAGGACAGGAAGAGTTGATATTATGACCGGTGTATTTAGAAACAAAGTCAGTAAAAATAATATCAAGAGTCAACTTCTCTAATGGGTTTAAACTTATTTAATTTAGGTAAAATTCACCAATTTTTGGTGCATAATTTGATGAACTTTAACAATGTATACAGTAGTGTCATTGTCACAATCATGATATAAAACAGCCACCTTTCCCACTGGCTTCCTATCATTTCTCTAGGTAATGCATATAAATTTATAATACAGAATTCAAAGCAGAGGAATAGAAAAGGCAGGATGCAATTAGCAATTACTTTCAAAATATTCTTATTCAAATCAATTGTACCAGTTTTAAGTAGGATGTGAATGACCAAGAAGGGTTTTTTTAACATTCAACCTAAGTCAGTCTTATTTTTACCACATCTGTTCTAACTGTAAGGGCCCAGAAGATTTAATAAGTAACAGCAACAATGATACTCTATTGACATTACACATGTCAGTGCCTATGCTAGATAGGGTGCTGCGAGAGGTAGCAGCAGTATACCGTAAATTCTGGTTTCTCATAGACCAGAGTTCAAATTACAGCTTTGTCACTTACTTAGGCATGTGACTTTGAGTAAATTATTTACTCTCTCTAAATCTCTGACTCCTCCCAGAATTGCCTACCTGATGATCAGGTAAGATCTAAAGGTAAATTATGTTATTTATCTTCTTTAATACACATGAGCACTGGAAGATTCAGCATTACTCCTATTACTTACAGATATTTAAAGGCTATTGTTATAAAAAACTGTAAGTTATGTAACACCAAACAATTTACATCAACATAGCGAGGCATGTGCTAGTGACAACCTCTCTGAACTCATTTCTTCCTCTGTAAAGGAAGGGATTACTAAGCACAATATAGCTACACATTTACTGGGAAACTACAAAAGTACCAGATGCAGTTTGAGATGCCTAATATATATTACCTCTAATTCTTAAAACAATTCTGAAAGATAAGTGTTATTATAGGTCTTACTATTGGAAGTATGTTGGGTGGACCAGAAATAGCATCAATTTCACTAGGGAGCTGTTAGAAATACAGAAGCTGAGGCCCTCCCTTGCAGTTAACAGTACCTCTATATTCATACGCATATTAAAGTTTAAGAAAGCATTGCCCTATGGTTCCTTCCAATTCAGTTAAGTCAAAAAATAACATAAAGATGCCAACACCCATCATGCACAATAAATACATATTGGTTTGCTTAGTCAACATAATTCCCTTGAAGTGAGATAAGAAAAACATATCTTAAATCTTTAAAGATTTTAGCAAAGTACATTCAATTTGTGTCCTTACATTAAAAATACATATCTTATTTAAATGTAATCCCTTACTTTAGATAGATATACTTGCTACTCCTAGTAAAAATAAGGAAGTAGAAGTTTTAAACATGAAGAGGAAGATGTAAACAAAAAAGCATGAATGTGAACTGTAAGAATTCAAAAGCAAATCTTAGGGTGGATTCCATTTGAACCTAAATGCAATATAATTTCAGTTAGTTTGTTGTTGTATAAAACTGTCATTGTATATCCTGTAATAAATTAGAACACAGAAATACCACCCACTCACCAACAACGTATAAGCAACCATGGAGCTCACTGACTCCATTGCCTGCTCTTCGTTGACCCATTTCTTTAACTTCTATCCACTTATCCAGATGTGGATCATACCTCTCCACACTAGATAAAGAAGCTACTCCATCATTGCCACCAACTGCATAAACATGGTTCTAAATAAAGAGAAAATAAAAGCAAATGATATCAGATTTTGAATTGACATATATTGTCCTAATGGTAGATCAGAATGTGAAAGAAAGCAGTATTTCGTGAAATAATGTAGTGTGTAATTAATACTGAAGATATGAATATATCAGATCTTTCCTTATTTGGTTAGAAATGTGATGCAATGCAACCCAATGAGCAAGCTGCCACATAACTTACTACTAGAGCCACAGAGCCAACTCCTCCACGGGGAGTATTCATTGGTGCTACTGTACTCCACTGATCAGATTCTATATCATATCTCTCCACATCGTTGAAGCAAGTGTTGTCATCTAACCCTCCAATGGCATAAATCGGGCCTCCTAAAGAGGCCAAGGCAATTCCTCGCCTGCAAAGATAATAAAACACACTTTAGCACCTGGGTTTTCTTTTTTTTTTTACTAGAAAAAAAGGTAGCAAAAAAGCTGTGCTAATGCAAGTCATTCATCATGCTAACACTTCAGTGTTTTCTTTCCCATTATTTTTAGATTTATCAAAGCTTCTGAATAGATGGCTACAGGGCTGCAAAAGTGTGCAGGTCTATGTGAACAGTGCCCTCTGGAGTTTTACAATGCATAGACTACACAGGTTAAATTTAAATAAAATAATAAACTAAAACCCAACAAACTACTATAAATGGAGTCCAAAACATTCAATTAGTAAAACACACAGTTGCATAATTGAGAGGCTGATGAACTGACAGATGGTTTGCTATGGAGGTCAGAAGTCAATCTCATTTCTAAATTCATGTAATTGCAAAGAAAAGTTTTGTTCCAGGGTATCATGAAAACAATAGCACATAAAAAATCAAGTTTTATATTACAAGTTTTATATAACATTGCTTTTCTTTTGAAGGGCATTTATTTCTCTCCTAGGAAAGGAAGAGACTTAGTCCATGTTAAAAGACAATACATTGTAATGGTGACCAGAAAAAAATTATATCAATTTCTTAGAATACATTGCAGCGATCGAAAGTTGAACTATTCTAAAACTATTATCTGTCATTGACTTGGTGTAAACTTTGGATAAAGTAGAATATTTTATAAACTTCTACTACCTTGCTTCTTCATCTGTAACCCATTTGAGAAAGGAGTAGACACAACTACTAATGAGTTAATATAGGTAAAGCACTAAGAACAGTGACTGGCCCATATTAAGTGCTATGTATTAGCTACTATACAATTGGGCTTTGAAATATGTACACACGCACTAGACAGCAGCTGCTCTACTGAGATTCTAATTCTAAGTTTACCAAAAGAGCATCCTAGGAAAGAGTTCTGAAGGATAATATTCATCTTCAGTCACCTTAACCTCTTTTCTCGAGTATAAACAATGACTTACAAAATACTGTGAATAGAAAAAATTTTAGGTGTAAACACATGTGCCCTCTAGAACATGAGTCATATCATGGCAGAAATAAGTGTACCTAATAATTCTCCCTCTCTCTTAACAGACTAACCCCAAAAGTAGATGATGTTATTAGCTATTTCCTATGCCTCAAACCTCTCTTCTCTTGATTTTCATGACATTGTACATTGGAGTTCCCTTCTACATCTCTAGTTGGTGCTTTTCAGCTTCCTTTATCAGTGCTTTCTTTTCTACTCCATCATTAAATTATGAAAGTCCCTAAAGCCTCTTATCACCCTATACTCTCTTTCTGTAGGTGATCTCATTATTTCCACAGATTTAGGATAACTCTAACATATATACCCAGACATATATTCTACCTCAATTTCTACCTCAAATCTGTCTTGCTGGCCTTCAACCTTAATGTGAAATGAAATTCACTCTCATTGTAGAGGGCAGCATTTTAAGATGTCTCCACCAGGATATTCACCCTCTAGTTTTACTCCTATGCTTATGATATGCTACATTATATAGCAAAGGAGAGATTACCTGAGTGGGCCTAATCTAATCACACAAGCCCTTTAAAAGCAGAAAGGTTTATCCAGCGGGAAGCAGGAAACAAGTCAGAAACTCAAAGAATGAGGTGGATTCTGCATGCTGCTGCTTGTTTGACAATAGAGGGGAACATTTGGAAAGGACCTGAGAGTGGTCTGTAGGAGCTGAGAGCAACCCCTGGCCAACAGCCAGTAAAAATGAGAAACTCAGTCCTATAATTACAAAGAATAGAATTCTATCAATAATCTAAATGACCTTGGAAGCAGTGTCTTCCTCAGAGCATCCAGAGAAGAGCCTAGCCCGGCCTACACTTTGATTTTGGCCATGTGAGTCCCTAAGTGGAAAAGTCAAACCTGTTGGACTTCTCACCTATGGCACTGTGAGCTAATAAATGAATGTTGTTTTAAGCTGCTAAGTACGTAGTAATTGATTACAAAGCAACAGACAACTATTGGTTTTCCTAATTGGTTATAGAGCAACAGAGTACACCCATAACAAGATAAACAAAAATTTTATTCTGTTCACCGCCTTGTTTTTTCTAATGCAGAAAACTGCATGACTATCCATACCCAGTTGCTTAACGCCAGGAACTGAAGAATCATCCCTGCCTCTACGATATCATTCTTTCTACCTCCCCCATCTAATTATCATTAAATCTTGTTGATTATACACTTCTGAACTCTCTCTCAAATATGTGCTCTTATCTCTATCCCTACTTTAGTCCAAGCCACCATTATTTTTTGACTGAAATATTACAATAACCCTTTTGGTCTCCAGATTGTTTTCACTCTGGCCTTCTCAAATCTCTTCACTATTTCATATGCAGAGGATCTTTGGAATGAGAAATCATTCACCTATTTTTTAAAATAGTGTGTGTGTGCATATTTCAAAGCCCAATTGATAAAATAAGAAATCTTGGCAAACCTAGAAAGCCCTCATTCTTTGCCTACTGTTTCAGCCTTATATCTTGACACCATTTCCTTTGATCTCTCAGCTGTACTGAACTTCTTTCATGCATTCTCCTCTCATTCACCTCCAGATTTTCGTAGACGCTTCATCTCTTTCCACCCGCCACTCTTCCTACCACCACCATTTAACAGATTAAATTATCCGAGACCTTCAGATCTTAGGTTAAATGAGACTGTAAGATCTCCCCTCTCAAGCACTGTTTACTTACTCTGTGCTAACATTATCATCTTTGTAATCATGCCTTTATTTGTATCTTCGCTTCTAGAATGTAAGCTCTATGGAGGTAGGAGCTTTGGCTGTCTTATTTATTGCTCTATCTTCAGCACCTGGTATGTCTTGCAATGGGCACTTAACCAGTATTTGTTGAATAAATAAATCAACCCCTAGAGATGCTGTTAGGATAATAGGTTTCAATAAAACCACAGGTTAAACAAACAACCGTCGATTTTACTAGAAAGATGAAAAAGTGGAGAAAATAAAGAAACCAGATATTTTACATGTGAAAATGACCCTGGAATGCATACTGAAAAAATGATTTGGGGATACAAATTATAAGCAAATAATAGGATGAAATAATTGCATTTCTATTATTTTTTATACAGTTGGATAGCGAATGTAAAGTGCTCAGGGCATATTTTAAAAGATTAAGGAAATTCAACCGCTATTTTGCTAGAAAAGTTTCATTCAATCCTTGGCTAAAAATTAGCTTAGCATGATAAAGAGACAAGGGGATAAAGATTCAAAATGTACTTGAAGATTTTCTCCCTCATTTTAATTCAAGCACTAGAATTTAAACTATTTGTAGTTTTCACAGAGCATAAATCAAACCCTATTAAAGTATTAAAATGTCATTTGTAGATAAGTGGGATATAATAGTACATTTCAAGATCAGCTTTTTTTCCCTAAGACTCTTTCTCCTCATGCAGTTCAACTTAAAATTGCTTGTTTTGGTAACGTCTTTTTTAACTCTTACGGAATGTTGCTACATACAAACCATTCAAGCAATGTTTAAAGTTAGGTTTTATTTGGATTTATTTATTTATTTTTTAAATAAAATTAAAATTGCAATAGAGATGTTTGGTTTTTGTTCTCTACACAAAGCTACTCTTAAGCAGTTTTTTTAATATTCAGATAGCCCTCTTTTTCTTTCCTCAATTACATTTTCGATCTGAAACAAAAAGGGAGAATTACTGTAGTATCTAGATTTATGTCAATTATTAAGCTCAGTCTTTCAAATCATCACCCTATTTGCTGAATTTTAAATTTGAAAAAGGAAAAGAATAGGTAATCTAATCTCTCATTTGCTGCAAAATAAATGTTATCTTTCTGACATATACATATATAGTTCCAGTCATTGAGAGGTATTACAGTATTCTCCATTACTATTATACTGAACTATAAATATTTATTCCTTCCTTCTAAAGCACTATACATTTCTTAAAATATCTAGATATGCTAAGTCTTCATATCTCCAGAAAAATTTTTATGTGACATGGCTTTCAGATCTCTTACCTATAAGTCCATACTTACCTGTATATTGCCCAGGTTATCACTCTCAATTTATAACAATTTTTGTGTACTCCCATACCGTAATTATTTTCAAATTATAAACATATTACTGTACTAAGAGGTTAATGTACAAAGTCTAATTTTTTATTTGCATACCCCAAGTGATGCTGCATACCCTACTTTAAGACCACAGCTATATATAAAGACAGGTCAGCATACAGAACTACAATCTCCCTTATCTAAGAGCTTCACTTCTCTTAATGTAGACAACTATATTATATTTGCTTTTTCCCTTTTCTTGTTTTTTAAGAGCTGTGCTTCATACTGGTTCAGGTACTTTTTCCATATGAAACGTAATCACAAACCTGACTTCCTACTACGTTCTACTAGTGTAACTGATTTTTTAAAAATACTAAAACAAGTTTTAACCTATAACTCTAATTTTAATATTTTAGGTTCTGCCTCTAGATCTAGATTATGTTTGGTACTACTATGCTTTTGAATCCTGATTTGGTCACATATTAGCTATCCTTCCACTTTAAGATATCAAAAATTTGGTATTCAAGTCTGAACAGGCTAGTCAGTCAACATTTCCTAAGTCATGTTACTAAAAATCTTCCTCCCCTTCAGACTGATCTATTTATCAACATATATTTCAATTTATTGCTGATGAAAATATTAAATATTAATACTCATGATAAAAATAATTAATAGAAATTAAAGGATATTTTCTTAACACATTAAAATAAATATAACCTTAATCCTAAAGCCAGTATCTTAATAGGAAAACACTAGAGACATTTTCATTAAAATCAGGAACAAGACAAAAACACCTATCTGTTACTATTCACATTATATTAGATCATTAACCAATACAATTAGACAAGAAAAACCAATTAGAAGCACATAATGTGTGGGAAAACTGGCAAAAGTTGAATAAGGTCTACAGATTAATTAATAGCTCTTTATCAATGTTAATTTCCTGGTTTCAACAATTGTACTACGATGATGTAAGATGTTAACATCATGGGAGCTCAGTGACGAGTATACAGCAGGATTTCTCTATCTTGGCACTACTGACATTTGGGGCCAAATAATTCTTTGCTGTGGGAGACTTTCTTGTGCATTACAGGATCTTTAGGAGCATCCCTGGCCTCTCCCAACTAGGTGCCAGCAGCAACTCCCTCAACTCTGCACCCAGCCCAAGTTGTGACAATCAAAAATGCCTCCAGACATTGCCAAGTGTTTTTCACAAAGGGAGCAAAATCACCTCTGTTGACAACTACAGGCATACAGGTATTCAAACATTTTTGCAACTTTTCTAAAAATCTAAAATTATTTCAAAATAAAAAATTTTAAAAATGCTCGTGTAAGTGAAAACTATGGACTTGATCATTATCATATTCTAAGGCATAATTACATTTTTAATTCTTAAGAAAACAAAAAGTTTTATTAGCAAAGCATCACACACTGGACGCTTTAACAAAATGTGTTTAAGAAGAAAGTTTCTAAAAGTGTAAAAAGTGAAAAATCGGCCCCTTTCAATTATAGGAAGCTTTCTTAATCTTCTACCACCATATCAAAATTAATTTCCATGCTGATCTACCTCTTTGTGTTCATCGACGCCTTCATCATCCATTTATTAGTGAGAGGATCAAACATCTCCATGCTACCTAAATGTTCATTTCCATCATGTCCACCCACTGCATACACTTTACCTGTCAAATAGAGAAATATTTTCATCTGATTCCAAATAATAGATATATAATCAATATATAATTAGAACAACATAATAGTCAACAAGTATTATTCTGTTCAACATTATAATCAATGTTATTTCTATAGTCAAATGAAAATAAATGTAAGCTTCTACTTAATAAAATGCCTGGAAAGTGCTGTTCTATATGAAGTTATTTAAATGCTTAAACACTATCCCTCCCTTAGGTTTCCGAACTTTTTATTACTTAGTAGATAAAATCACTAATCACGTTTTCAAAGAATGTTTAGTAAAATTAAAACATGCTCTTATGTTACATGAAGAAAATGTAATATAAAACAATACGAACAAACTTTTTCTAAATGAAATAAAAATACACACACACAAAAAAATGGAAAGATTATATACCAAAATGTTAACTGTGACAATTTTGTTAACTGTGACAATTTCTGGTTATTTGGGTTACAGATGATTTTTATTTTCTATTAAAATATTTTCATATTTTCCCCAAAAAGCATTTATGTTTATAATCAGAAAAAAAGTGAGTTTTAAATAAGTCTCCCAACAATTTAACCATACTTCTGCAATTAATCATTATCATCAGCAGCCAGTCAAAATAAAAACCTTATTTCAATAACAAGTAAATGGGTATAGAAAAAAGCTGATATATATTATTTAGGTTCAATAAACATGTTTCTTTAGTTTCTTTTGCAAATATAACTCAGAATAGTTTAACTCCCTTTTCCCTGATACTCATCTCCCATTAAGTACCTATTAGCAGGAGATTGTACACTGAACATCAATGAGCATAAAGCAAGAAAATAATCACCACCCAAATATTTTACCAATATACTGAAACATTTTATATTTTAGCAATTTTCTTATAGAAAGAAAATTCTCAAAGTTAAAATATTTAAAAAGAGTATTATCATCATGGGATATGATTTAAGACAATAGTGAACCCACCTTCCACAGAGATTACACCCACGTGTCGTCTTCGACTATTCATTTCTGGTCCAAAGAACCAACTATTTTTGTTGATAGAATAACATTCAATACTGCGAAAAGGGTCACCAGATCCACCTCGACCACCTACACAAAACAGCACACCTAAAGGTAAAGCCACAAAAGAGAAGTCAAAATCATAGCTCCCTAATTTGAAAATTAGTATGGAAAAAATATTTAGGAAGTCAAAATTTGATTTACAAAAAAAAAAAGCTATTTGGATAGTATTCAATGTCATCACATTACTAGAAACCTATTTTTTTGTTTTTTCTCATTTGAATGTCTCAAATGGGATACATTAGCTATCTCTGCTTGCTAACACCTCATTACAATGTTTTACTATCTCTTCTTGCTAACATCCCATTACAATGTTTTAGATCCTCACTTACTATGTAAAATTGCTCTTGCTAAGGTCATAACAAGATCCAACAAACTCTTAAATTAATTTCTTACTGAACACAACTGCAATATTTGATATATTGATCACTGTTTTTTGGGAAACTCCTTAACTTTCTTGATTTCCCTAATATCAAAATCTCCTTTTGTCTCCAATCATTTCTCTTTCTTGTTTTCCATGTTTCATCCCTAGCTTACTTCTCACATATTTCATGCTCACAAAGGAGAATTTCATTATTTTTAATTCCATCTGTATCATAATGCCTTCCAATCTATATTTCTAAGCCACATTTCCACTTGATGTCCCATAGGCGCTCAAACTCAACATGTTCAAAAGGATCTTCCTTCCTCACTTATCTAAACAACCTCTTCCTTCCCTGTGTCCTTCCTCTCCCGTGCCCTAGTGCAGGCCTTCACTAGCGATTACCCTGCAAAATCCTGTCCTCTCTTACCACTTAGCAGTCTTTTTTTTTTGCTTTCAGACTGTCAACAGAGTTACTTAATTAAAAGGCTCTTTCAACAGCTTTTATTACCTTCATTAGTGTTTAAAAAAATTTTAAAAAATAAAAACTTCAGCAGCACTAAACTGTACATTCAAAAATGGAGATTTTTACGTCATTCAGGCATACCTTGGAGATACTGTGGGTTCGGTTCCAGATCATTTCAATGAAGCGAATATCGCCATAAAGCCAGTCACACAAATTTTTTGATTTCCCAATGCATAGAAAAGTTACATGTACACTCTACTATAGTCTATTAAGTGTGCAACAGCATTGCCTTAAAAAACTAATATGCGCACCTTAATTAAAAAAATACTTTATTGCTAAAAAAATGCTAACCATCATTTGATCCTTAAGCGACTCATAATCTTTTTTCTGGTGGAAGGTCTTAGCTTTAATTTGTAAAAAATGCAGTATTAGAGAAATGCAATAAAATGGGGTATTCCTATATATATTTTACCACAATTAACCAAAAAAACCCAAAATCTGAGTGTGGTTCAGAATTACCCAAAATGCATATAATACTAATTGTGGGGCCTGACCCTTAAAGTTTCTGATTCAGTAGGTTTGTGGTAGGTCTAAGAATTGATATTTCTAACAAGTTCCCAAGTGAATGCTGATACTACTGGTCCAGGGCCACCACTTCCTTCACACACTGAGAACCATAGCCCTACGGGATAAAGTCTTAGAACAGCATAAAGGCCTTACAGTGTTCAACCTGATCTTCTCCCTCCCTGTTAAAACTTCATGCTGTTGCAACATGTATATAGTTAGTTCTCATCCTCGGTGTTCTGATAGCGACTATCATTCACTTAATATACAGTACTGAAATGATCTATTATGCTGATATTAGTCACCAGAATCTAAGCTAGGTTAAGACTGTTTGTTAAATATTTATGCACTAATAAGGACTAGCATAGTGCCTGGCATGCACTAGGCACTGAATAAATGTAAAATGAACAGAATACCACTTTCCCCAACTGGCATCCAGAAAGATCTATTATTAAAAACTAAGACAGGTTTACTTTCTCTATAAAATCTTTCTGACCCTTGCAAGGTAAAAATAACTACTCTTTTCTTTGTGCTTCCCAATATACCTTATGATTATATCAAAATACTTGTAATATTTTATTGCGTTTATTTATTCACATGTCTATATCCTTACATCAGACTGCAAGTTCCCTCAAAACAGGACTGGCTATATTCTATTTGTGTTTGCATTTCTAACACTTAATCCAGAACACACATGTGGTAGGCACTGAATAAATATTTGCAAATGATTGCATAAATGAATGACCAGAACTGCTTATGCTATCTTTTCCAACTAATTCAATATTTTAAGCCAGAGAAATTTAAAGTTGGAAGAGACTTTAAAGATCATGCGGTCAAAATTGTCTATAAATAAACCAAGGCCTTCAGAAATTAAAAAATCTGCCCTAACTATAGATGTTTATGGCCCCACTGGAATTATAATCCCGTAAGTAACTAACCCCAATCACTGATTCGGTTTTCTTTATAAGTCACCCAAGAACATGACATGAAGTGAAAACGAAGAATGAAGTAAAAAGATCAGGATGCAAATCCTTTCTCTACTATGTCTCTGTGTGGCCTTAGCATACTTTTACCTTCTCTGATTACCCTGATTCTTTTATCCTCATCCATAAAATGAAATAACATCAACAATCTCATAATGAGGATTGAATCTTTCACTAAAATCTACTTCATAAAGTTCTTGCAATTACGTAAGGGATCACATATATGAGGGTCTGGTATATGTCTTGTCATATAATCTAGACTGTAAATTGTTATTTGAATTAAAATCTGAATCTGAAAATATTCGTTAAATACTTTGAGTTTCTGAAACAGGATTCACAACTAAAAAAAATCTATACTTCAAAAAAATTTAATTCTTGAAATCAACCTATTAAAAAAAAAAGAAAATATATCAGCAGTCCTTTTCTTGTTAAAACTATTTAGAACTACTTCGTAGGCAGATCTATGACATTCAAACTTTCTTTATGCTACCTATATAAACTCCCACTATACATAATCAAGTGTTGCCTTGTGTTGCTGTTTTAGTTTTTTCCATAGATCTTTTTTTAATAACTATCTTAGGTAGCAGCAAATGTAGAGAAGTCTCTGTCCAGAGTACCAATGTCTGAATTCCTAGACCTCATTTATTTTCCCTCCTCCTTCATATATTCTTTATATTTACAAAGAGTAACACAAGTGAACATGAACTATTTTCTTGGGAAAATTGTGGCAAATAAAGGTGAAAGTGCACTCTTCCTCAAAAATAAGAGCTTTAGATTCTAAGAGTCTAATGTGGTCCTGATGCGATGTCAGATTTAGTGCCTTTCTTGATAAAATGCAAAAGCAAATATTTAAACATGTAATAAGTGTCAAGCTCCATGCTTGGCACTACAGATACAAAACTAAATAAGATACCTGTTTTTGAAGGGCTCGAAACATGTCAAATAAATTTCAATGCTACATGGTAAAATAAGTGCAAACGAAGTGCTCTAAAAGCACAAATGACAGAGGAACTACATCTGCACAGAAGAATCAAGAACACCTCAAAATAAGAGCTATTTCGGCAGGCTCTTCAGAGAGTATAAGACTTGTTATAGTTTTTTAAAAAACTGACTTATTGATGAAACTATCTGAATCACATATATTAAGAATTCACACATAACCTTATTTGCCAATTATTACTTTAAGACAATTAGATACTAATCATCTTACAATTAAGTTTGGGCATACATAACCAACCCTCAAATCCAACAAAGATCCTTCCAGAAGAATTGATAAATGAGTAACTTAATTACCAGCAGTATGCTTCCTTGGTGTAGTCCGAACAGAGTATTCAAAGTCAGGTACTGCTCTGCTACTCAAGTGAAGGTGGTAATTTCTTGCTTCATCCAGCAAATCTCTACATTTTAGATTTTGCTTGACAATCTGTTCTTTTGCCACAACACCCATAAGAAAATCAACTGGCAACAGAGGCAAACGAACCTAAGATCATGAATAGTTGCAGACATAAAATTTAAGTTGTAACAGGAAAGTAGTTCTCTATTTTCTCTGTAGTATATTCTCTTTTTTAAACTCATTTACTTCATAAAACCTTAACGTTCAATGTGCCAAGTTCTAAAGCAATTTCCAGGACTGGTCTGCACCAATGAAATCAGATATGTTAAATATGTTCTCCCCTTTTAAATACAGATTTAAGTTGACTGGATAAAATAATTCAGTTGTCTTCATTCAAGTTTCTTACTTCCAAAAATGGTATTGTCATAACCACAATGCCCCTTGCTGCTGAACAAAAGGCAGAATAAAAGCAAAACTGCTGTGCTTTGTTCTTTTGCCTTTAAAAGCTAAGACTGAACATATGGAAATGTGATTTATCTCTTAAACACACAAACATTCAGATCTAAAACAACAGGTGGTGTCTTCTTTGAATCAATTACCTTGGAAGGTTATATATATTAACTGAAGGACGCATCCTCTCTTTCGGTATCAGTACTCACTATTCATCTCTTAAAGATGCACAGATTTATTATTATTATTATTTATTATTAATTATTATTATTTATGCCTACAGCGCCTGGTCATCCTAGGTGGTCTCTTATCCAAGTACTAACCAGGCCCGACCCTGCTTAGCTTCCAAGATCAGACATCAGGCTTGTTCAGGGTGGCATGGCTGTAGACCATGGACCGTTGCTCCACTAGGGGGCGAACCCAGGAAATTCTGCGTGTAAAGCAGATGTGCTAACCGCTACACTATGGAACCACATCCTTGATTTTCTAGTAGCTTAAAGGGATGATCAAACCAGGTAATACAATTTTGAGTTAGAAGTGCACACACACAAACACACACACACAGACACACACACACAAACAAGATATAGCTGCAAGATAATGAAAGTTTTTGTTTTGTTGACATTTTTTCTAAGTAATTCTAAGGCCTATTATCTCCCTATCCAAGTAACACCTGTTGACAGTAAAAAATAAATAAATCATTTAAAAAGAGACATATTTCTGAGATTTATAAAGCTGTGAAGCAAATGAAAAGTGATGTCTTATAGTTCTTTTCAGAATAAATCTATATGCATTAGGAATAAATGTATTTTCATTAGCAAAGTAATACAGTAAAATTTAGAAACTTCATTAAAAAATAATAGCCATAGATTAATTTTGAGCTGTTTCCTCAGAACTATTTTCTACTAGCATAAATAAAAGATTACTACTATCTCAAAAGAATATTTTAAATATTCAGGTTAAAAAGCAGATAATATTTCTAATTCAAATGTAACAAATTTAGATCTATCCTTAAATAGTATAGTGACTAAACAGAAGAGTAAGTCATTTTTACATTGTATTACATCAATTAATAATTTACATTTTTCATGACAAATGAAACATGTTGATTTGCTTCCATATAGTTCATTTCTAGACAATCTTATTTCAGCTCCTACCTGTGCAAGTGTTTCATCCAACCATTTGGAATGATGCTGAGGATTGGCAAGAAGCCACTTGATGGCTGCATTATAGACCTGCTTTTCGTTATCAATATTTAGATCACTGGAGGACAAAAGCTTATGGAGATGCTGAGGTGACACACTTACAAAGTCTTCACACTCTACTACTTCACTAAAATGCTCACAGGCATACTGATCCGCCATCTCCATTAAGTCTATTCGATTGTGACTTTCTGCAAAGGCTCTTACTGCCAGGCAATTGGAGGGATGAAAATGTAACTTCATGTATTCACAACAAGCTCTAGCCACCAGTTCAACCTGTAGAATACAGGCTGCATATAAGAGAGGCTGGACATTGTCAACAGTCAAAGTGATCCGTGAAGAATAGACAAACTTTACCAGGTCTTCTATTGCATCACCATCAAAATCTCTGATCTCAATCATTGTTTGCTTGGCTTCAGCCATTTCAGAAAGAAACATGGCTCTGAAGTAGGGAATAACACAAGCCAATACCAGTTTGTGACAAGAGATTAACTTTGAGCCAACCTGTTCATAACAAACAAAAAGAGATTCAATTTAACATCAAAATTAGTTTTAGATCAGCATCAAGCATGTGCTGTAGCAGGGACAAAAATTCCAGACAAATTTAGTGATTTAATAGTACTATAAAATAGGGTTCTACGATTTCCAGGCAAACATTATTTTAACACTGCTTTCTCATCCAAGCTGTACAAATCAATGGCCCACAAGTTATTATTAGGTTATTATACGGTTCTGTCCCCTCTATAACTCTATTTTGATTTCAGGCAAACCAAATTTCTACTTTAATTCAAATAAACCAAAATATGGATATTTAATACAAACACATACATGCAATCACACCCCTATGTACTTTTTAGAATAAATAACACTCTTAACTTTAAAAAGAACTTGGAGTCATGTGTGTAAAAGAGAAACATTAAAAAAATTTTATTCATTAATTCTCCTTTGATACTCTACAGACTCACTACATTTTTGAAAGTTTATGTCTACATTTTTCTGCTCTGGAACATAAAAAAACATTTCATCAGAAATTTAGAAGTGAAAAAAAATCAAAGACTAAAGACTAGATGTTTAAAATTGGGTGAAAAATATACAAACTACAAAATGTAGACATTACATTTAAAATTATATTAATTTAAAATTAATATTTATTTAAAATTACAATTATATTAATAGTTATTATATTTCAAATTATATTAATACTACAGTATGTGTCCTTGATACTAGTAAAATTTTAATTTATATATTTTTTATCAGTGAACATATGAATAATTCAAGATGCTCAGGGAAAAACATGTCAAGCTTATTAAACTTTAGTGAAATATGTGAACGTCAACATTAATAAAATGATCGCTGTTTCAAAAAAGCTTGAAATACAATTAATTAAAACCTTGAGTAATTTTTCATAGATTAGCCAATAGGGATCAAAATATAATGGAACAAAGGCTTCCAGATTGGTAAAACGCTTCATTTTCAACACGTGGAGAAGGGGCACAACGGGAAGCCAAGCATCCTCAATTTAGGTCCAACCAAAAAATTTTATAACAAACTAAGTAGAACTCTGAAAACAATAGTGATCTTCCGCTCAATTATGAGGTAAAATGAACCAAAAATGATATAAAAAGAACATTAAACAAAGAACATCAAGAATTCCATTAAATATCAGATTCAACTTACAAAACGAAATTATATAAGTACCCCCCCACCCACCGAGTACAACACACAGTCAATGTGTAAAATCAAGAAAGCAGACAAAGATACAAGGAAAAAACTTTACTCACTATTCAACAAATACTGTCAACCTTTTGGTATATTTCTTTCCAACTTTTTTTCTATGCATTTTGAAACAACTGAGATTGTCCTAAACTTTGTTTCCTAAAATTTCCTTTTCCTAAGTTTCTGAAAACTTTTGTGACTTTCATACTTATTGGCTGTGTATGCTATTTTATACAGTGGATCTAACCATTTGTATAACCATTATCAAGTTTATTTAACCATTCTTATATTGGCCGTTTAGATAACTTTTCCATATTTTAAACTGAAATAGTATCTTAAAGCAGAAAGTTTTTTCAGCATTTCACAATATTTCCTTGAGATAAAATACTGAAAAGCAGAATTAATGAATCAAAATTTATAAGTTATCATTCTTACCTCTTAGAATTTATTACAATGTAGTTCACATATTTTGTTTTCTTGAAATTTTTCAGAGCACTTACTCTTATCTGGTCAGATGGAAATTTTGATAACAAATAATTTTAACACTTAGAGCCTTGAAAATGTGTATCAGAATCCTATAAATATTTATTTAAAAATCACAGAAACATGAACTTTCAAAAAAAACAACATGAACTTTCAAAAAAATCACAGAAATATGATCTTTCAAAGAATCATATTCAATGGTTGCATCAGAAAGTGATGTAAGGGGTTGTCCTTCTTTAATAATCTCTATTAATTTCTAGAAGCAAAATTAACTATGATCTTTCATAAAGACAATGACATTTCCTCAAACTATGTAAAACATGACTAAAAGCATCTTTGTAAATGCTATTCTTATTGATCTATAACATATAATCTAAACATTATGAATGCTATGCAATACTCAAGACAATTTCCCCCTCTCTCTTCCTCAAATTGTTGCCCTTAACAAGCTTCCTTCATATACAATTTTACAGCTGCCACTGGATATATTATTTAAAAGTATTTTCACTAATAAATAGACACAGTAATATATAAACAAGTTTCACCTCTCCCTGGAGTGACCTTAAAATAATATAATCTATGTGAAGCTTTTCCAATCACCTGTCAGACATAATTAAGATCTTCTCCTATGCTTCTATACAAATAACACAAAAAATGGCAATCACTAATTTGTATTATAGTTATCTGTGCATGTGCCTATCTCTGACTTAACTTTAAATTCCCTCAAGGCAAGTACAGTATATTGTCAAAATTTACTTATTCTCTCAATGTACTAGAGTAAGACCTTAGTAAATGTTTTACTAAATGAATTTGTTATTTACAACAGGTGCTCACTTTAGAATTTTAAAATGGTCTAATGGTCCTATATATGAAAAATAAAATAAATTTTGATAATTGCTTTTCTAAAATGTTCACCTTAAAAGCAAGAATGACCAAAGGAAACATGCTAACAGAAGAAAGGAAATGAATTATATCAAGAAAAAATCTTCAAGATTATATGAATATAAAAAGTGAAGTTTATGTTGAAGAGAGCATTATAAATTATCCATAATCCTATTTGGTTTAGTTTTGTGATAGTTAAATTCTGAAAGTTGAAAAATGTTAAATTAGAATTAAGAAACCAATCCAATAACAGACCTGCTAAAACATTAAGTAGTGATTCATTCTAATGAATAGGAACAGACTATCCCATAGCAGAATTATCTAATAAATTTGGAGCAACAATAGTAGTAAATATAAATGATCCTAAGAGCTGACATGTACTGATTATTTATTACATACCAAGCACTGTTATAAGGACTTTACGCATTATCAATTCTTTATTCCTCACAAAAACCTTATCATCATTGTAATTTTAGTTGAGGAAATAAAAATGGTAGTCTCTTTACATCAGTGAAGTTTATCATTCCTAAATTACCTCTGTCACTGCTTCAAACATAGTATTTTTAGTCTTCCACCACAGATTCTTCTGAAGTTTTCATTTCAATCTATTGCTGAAGTCACCCAATAAACAAAGAAAAGTTATGAGTTTAGTTATCAATTGCCCTATAATGGCTGTATCCTTATTTTTCACTTAAGGAAGTCTATATGTAGTAGCTAGCAAAAATTATTCTAAAATCCAATTGTAAAATTTATAAAATCGGTAATATTCTATTTGTTTCCCATGCATACAGTAATAGGATGAATTGATAATTAATTAAATTCAAATAACCTATTTTACATTTTTTATTTTGCCAAAGCCAGTGTAAGTCACTGATTTTCGCAGTAGGGCTGAAAATTAGAACAAAGGCATGAGATTAAACATACTATATGGATTAAAGTGTTTTTTCATTAAAATATGTGCATGGCTAAATTTCACAAAGAGCTAGTATAATTACATAATATGATTTTCTTCTCAGTATCATAGGGCCTAGAAATACGTAAGGACACTAAAAGTTTAAGAGAACATAGGTCATTTATTTACAGTGTAACACTATACTCTTGGACATTCTGGGCCTGAAACTCAAAGCTTATGCTTTCAGTTTATGGACTTTTGCTGAGTGTCCCCCATCATCTGACTCTCCAAGTATGCCCTCAATTCCTACAATTATAAGCTCTAAGAATCTATCTGTTCAGGAGTAGAAAGCAAAATCTAAGAGATCCCAAAGTGTCAAATTCTATGTAGAAAACGCTGCATAGGTGCACATGAATCACTAGAAAAATTTAATACTATATCTAGAAATAAGAATAAGAAAAGTACTTTAAATGATAGTGAAAAACAATTAAAACACAGGCTCTTTCACACTTTTTATCACTTATCCAATTTTATTAAAGCTATCTTTTGTAGTACAACAACATGATCCTACAGACTCGCAGACTTAAAGTTTACTAAAGACCGTTCTGTCCAAGTCTAAAAAGACTGTTTCACTATCAAGTACAGATAAACAATCTCACTTAACAGAGAATAGTAATGAATTGAGATTAAATCACTAGAACAAGAAGGTAAGTAAAACCCTAGTGCAGCTGAGTAAACAACCAAGAATTCCTGCTTATAACCTAAATCAAGTGTAAGTGAATACATCAAGATATTTATATTGACAAGTTAAGGGCTTATCTAGTCAATAGCAATTTAATTCTACCAATAATAACTACTTGTTATTTTTAGGGTTCTAGAGCTTTCTGAAGTTAAATTAAGAAAAAATGAATATCGACATTTAATTTGTACAAGAATTTTATGCTAATCTCCCTTTATTTACCCTCCATTGTGTCCCTTCCCCTTCAATAAGACTGAGATGAAAATCACTCTGATTATAAATAAGCACAGCATCAAAAAATTGGCCTTGTACAGAAAACTTCATTTTTCATAATACAACAAAGAGGCTGAGAAAAGAAAAAAAGATAGTCTCACCTTTAGTGTGACATCACAGAGTTCTCCATTTTCATAAAATCGAAGAAGAGATCCATGAAATTCTTTCCAAGCTTCATGTGCTTCAAAGATAAAAGAGTCCTCCCCATCACTATCACTAATTGAAGATCTGTTCTTTACTTGCTGGTGCTGTTGCCTTTTCCCCTTTGTGAAGTGATTTCTAGCTTGTTTTGCATTCATAGATTCTGAAGCCATTTGCAACACTTTTAATAGAGCTGTCTTCTCAAACATCCATTTATTCTCTTGTAAAAGGTGGAGAAGATAGAGGCAGCCAACTAAACTTCAGACATTTTTCAAAACCCACTCAACTGACATTGTCCAGTTTGCCGAGACTGAAAAATCAACAAAACATAAAGAAACAAACCAAAAGCAAAAAAAAAAAAAACTATCAGTAATTATAGTTTACCAATACTATATACGTAAAAAGACCATATAAATCATAATTGAAAAAGAACAAGTAACTTGGTAGTTTTTTATGCTAAATGTCACATAAATTACCTCAGCAAATACAGGTGACCCTTGAACAATATTTCAGCTCTTAGGAAAGCAGCAGTTGCCCATCCCACACCCCCCAAACATGTGGCAACCAGCTGTGCATGTGTTCGTGGAGTATCTTGCATAGTTTGCAGAGCCATAATGGGCAAAAAGGACCCTGTCCTCCAAATGTCAGAGATCTCTCTTCTAACTGCTGACTGCTGTTTCTGATCACAGAGTTGCAGACAAAAAGGTGAGCAGCCATTTTTGTTGCACCTCCTCCCACTGTTGCAGGTCCCTCCCTCTTAGCTGAAGTAACTTCTGAGGGATTTAAAAGGCTGGAGTCCTTTACCGTCTTAATTTTATGCTTTTTCCCCTTTAGGGAGCAAGACACTAAAGATTAGACATTAAAAAACAACTGCATATACAAGGAATATTAAAAAGTGACAGTGCATGCCCAGGGAAGGCTTAGAAAAGACCTGAGAAAACCTTAAGCTTACATCTCAGGCTGATCTTCAGCACAGAGAGAGCCTATCATCAAAAACAGTAACAAAAAAAACAGTGAACCTTAAGGAAGAAGAAGAATCTGATTTCCAGACTTATCACATTATGAGATTCACATGAACACAACAAAAAAAATCACAAGGTAGAACGGCTATAACCAACAGGACAAGTAATAACACATGTTGGAGAGGATGCAGAGTAAAAGGAACCCTCATACACTGCTGGTGGGACTGCAAATTGGTACAGCCACTATGGAAAACAGTATGGAAGTTCCTCAAAAAACTAAGAATTGATATACCATATGATCCAGCAATCCCCCTACTGGGTATTTATCCCAAAGACTTGAAAACCCATATCCAAAAAGATATTTGCACATCGATGTTCATAGCAGCATTATTCACAATGGCCAAGACAAGGAAGCAACCAAAGTGTCCTATGATAGATGACTGGATAAAGAAGCTGTGGTACATATACACAATTGAATATCACTCAGCCATAAGAAGAGACGAAATACTGCCATTTGCAACATGGATGGACCTCAAGATAATCATGCTAAGAGAAATAACCCAGACAAAAAAAGTTGAAAATCACATGATATCACTTATATGTGGGATATAAACCTAAAAGCAACAAATAAACAGGACACACAGAGACTCATAGACATAGACTATAGACTAGTGGTTACCAGAGGATAGGGGGTGGGGGGAGGGGGGAGGTAGACAGGGTAAAGGGGGTCAAATATGTGGTGACAGAAAGAAATCTAACTATAGAATGTAAACACACAGTAAATATATATATGCCTTAGTGTTAAAGTGTACAGCTGAAAGTTACTGGATTTCATTAACCAATGTCATCATAAAAAATAATTTTAAAAAAATCACATATAAATAGGAAAGTAAGGCCCTTTCAAGGGAAAAAAATAAATCAAAAGAAACTGTTCCTGAAAAAGAACTAATGATACTTATACTAGACAAACACTTTAAGACAATTGTCTTAAAGATGTTCCAAGAACTAAAAAAGGAGAAAATCATGTGCAAACAAAATGAAACTATCAAATATATAGGAACCTACGAAGGAAAAAAAAAAGAAATTCTGGAACTGAAAAGTATAACTGAAATAAAATTTTTAAAAATTCACTAGAGAAATTCAAAGGCAGATTTGAGCATGTGAAGAATCAGCAAACTTGAAGACAGGACAATGACAATTATCAAGTGAGGAACAGAAAGACTGAAGAAATATGAACACAGCCCAAGGGATCTGTGGAACACCAATGAACAGACCAACACATGCATCATAGGAATCCTAGAAGGACTGAAAAGAAAAGGGAGGAGAGAACATTTCAAGAAATAATGGCTTAAAACTTCCTAAATTTGATGAAATACATGAATAAAAATATCCAATAAGCTCCAAGAAAGATAAACACAAGGAGACCCATACCTAGACACGTTATAATCAAACTTTCAAACAACGACAGAGAATCTTGAAATCAAGAAAGGTGAATCATCACATACAAGGGATTCTCAATAAGATTATCAGATTTTTCATCAGAAACTTTGTCTCCCATCCAAATACTAACCAGACCCAACTGTGCTTAGCTTCTGAGATCAGATGAGATTGGGTGCTTTCATGGTGGTATGGCCATAGACTTGTCAGAAACTTTTTAAGCCAGAAGATAGTGGGCAGATATGGTCACAATACTGAAAGACAAAATCTCTCAACTAGGGATACTGTATCCTGCAAAACTATACTTCAAAAATAAGGACAAAATTAAGAATTCCCAGATAAACAAAAGCTGAGAGAGTTCATAATCACTAGACCCAGCCTTCAAGAAATAGTCAAGGGGGTCCTATAGAAATGAAAAAACAATAGACAGTAACTCAAAGCCATATGGAGAAATAAATATCTCAATAAAAGTAAATACACAGGTAATTACAAAAGGTAGTATTATTGGAACAATGGTTTGTAACTGCATTTTCTTCTCTATATGATTTAAGAAAATAATACATTTAAAGAAAAAAATCAATATAAAAGCTATATTAACTATAACTTCAGTTTGTAACAGTCTTATTTTCTTTATAATTTAAAAGAATAATTTAAAAATAAGTGAAAAATAGATTTTTAATTAAAAATTAATTTTAAAGTAATTTAAAAGAATTTTTAGTTTATATTTTGGGGGACATAATGTATAAAGATGTAATTTTGTGACAACAACAACTGAAAGGGTGAATATGGAGTGGTAAAGGAGCAGTTTTCATCTGATATTGCAGTTAAACTGGTATAAATTCAAAATAGAGTATTATAACTTTAAGATGTCAAATGTAATCCCCATGATAACCATAAGGAAAATACCTATAGGATATACAGAAAAGGAAACAAGGAATTTAAACTTTTCACTCCTCCCCCCAAAAAATCTACCAACAACAAAAAAAAAGACAATAATGCTGGAAATGAGGGTCAAAAAAGTTTTAAGTCATATAAAAACAAACAGCACAATGACAGAAGTCTTTCCTTACCAGTAATTAAACATAAATGGATTAAATTCTCCAATCAAAAGACAGATTGCAGAATGAATAAAAACATATGATCCAAATATATGCTGTCTACAAGAGAATCATGAGATCCAAAGACACAAACAAGTTGAAATGGAAAGGATGGGAAAGAATATTCTATGCAAATACTACCCAAAGTGTTCTACAGATCAATGCAATCTATCAAAATCCCAATGACATTTTTTTATGGAAATAGAAATACCCATCCTAAAATTGATGTGGAATTTCAAGGGACCCTGAACAGCCAAAATAATGATGTAAAAGAATAAAACTAGAGGACTCACACTTCCTGATTTCAAAACTTACTGCAATCAAAACAGTGTGGTACTGGCAAATAGATCAATGAAATAGCCAAGAAATAAATCCTCACACAGATGGTCAAATAAATGTGGACAAGTGCCAAAGCCATTCAATAGGAAAAGCACAGTCTTTTTAACAAATGGTCCTAGGAAAACTGGATATACATGTGCAAAAGAATAAGCACATGAAAAGATGCTCAACATCACTAACCATTAAAGAAGCATAAATCAAAGCTATGAGATACCACCTCAATACTACCAAAAAGAAAAAAAGAAAGAAAGAAAGAAAGAAAAGAAAAGAAAACGTGTTTGGCAAAGATATGGAAAACCAAAACCTTTGCCCACTGTTAGTAGGTGTAAAATAGGACAGCCACTGTGGAAAACAGTATGGCGGTTCCTCAAAAATTTTAAAATAAAATAACCGCATGATACAGCATTTCCGCTTCTGGGTATATGCCAAAAAGAACGGAAAGGAATGTCTTGAAGAGATATTTATACACCCCTGTTCACAGCAGCACTATTCACAATAGCTAAAATGTGGAAGCAACCCAAGAATCCATAGACACATATCTGGATAAACAAATTGTGGTATATACATACAATGCAATACTATTCGGTCTTAAAAAGGAAGGAAATTCTGCAATATGCTACAACATGGATGAACCTTGAGAACATTATGCTAAGTAAAATAAGCCAGTTACAAAAAGGTAAATATTATATCATTCAACTTATAATGAGGTATGAGTAGTCAAAATCATAAAGACAGGAAATATAACTATAGTTGCTAAAGGCTGGGGGGGAGGAGAGAATGGGGACTTGTTTAATGGGTATAGAGTTTCAGTTTTACATGATCAAAAGACTTACAGGGATGGATGGTGGTGATGGTTGCACAATAAGGTGAATATACTTAATATCACTGAACTGAGCAGTTAAAAACAGTTAATATTGTAAATTTGTTATGTGTATTTTACTACAATAAGAAGAAATTTGAGAACAATTCAATACCACATGACTTTTGAGATGTGCAATGCACTATTCAAAAAGAAAGACTATGAACTAAAATTTTTAAGTTTAGAGACTTTATACAGTGATGTAAGGCAAAAATAAAAAAAAATTGGTTATTTTGACTGAATTAGGTTCTTCCTAGATTTTAAAGTCAGGTCATGGTTCCACCATTTATCAACTGTTTAACCTTGGGCAAATGACAACTTGTTTTAATCTGTTATATCCTCTGTGCAACAGAGATATCACTTATCTAACAAAAATATTTTGGGGATTAGAGATATTGTATAGCCAGACACAAGTATTGTTACATTGTTATAAAAATCTTGTATTTTAATTTTCACATAGTATTATTTATATGTGAAATCAAACTTATTATCAAAGAACATTTAATAAATATTCATATCAATAGTTCTATGCTACAATTCCCTTTAGTAACAGAACAAAGATTATTAATTAAAATATTGATTCTACCACTCACTGGCTGTGTAACTTTTAAAAAAT